GTATGTTCACCCTCCGCCCGCGGCCATCACCGTTCCACAAACCCGCCGGTCACCGGTCACCTTCCCTCACAACGGTCCCCCCAGTCGATCCATTGGTCTATGGCCAGGTCTCAGCGGGTCGCCTTCGCCCTCCAGTTCATCCTGCTCGTGCTTGCAAAGGCCCAAACCTCCCGGTCGACCGAGCAGAGTCGGAGCACCAAACTCACGTCGGTCTGTTTGCGCGTTTGGGGCGACGTGGGTCGCCATGGATTTCGCTGGGTAGAGGAAGGAAGTCGAAGGGTGGAGGAGACAAATTCGTCTGAACTCCAAATCTCATTGAGTTATTTTTCTGAAAACTATGGTTGGACAAGGGACTCCATCTCCCTTGGCTTCTGGCGTTTGAAGTTCAAGGCAGATGAAGGTGGCTCCAAACCAGGCATCTCTTCCAAATCCGGGCACACTCTTCATGCCCACCAACAAACCCTGGGAAAAACCAATCACCCCCAAAAAGATATCTCTTTTGAAAATCCTCGCGAAGCAGGATCCACCACCCACGTTGTTGAGGCGTCCCCTTCCTCGCCCCGACCTCTCACCGTGTACTTCCGGACCTCGCCGGATGGACCCCGCAGAGGAACAGCTCAGACAGCCGTAGAGCAAAGCGATCAGGGGCGGAACCAGGTACCTGGCGGCCCTTCGCGGCCGTCCCACCCGGATCTTGGGACCGACCGGAGGCGGGGAAGCGCCCAAGCAAGTCCGGGCTCCGAACGGAGCGGGATCCTCTAGTTGCTAGTCATCCCTGGATTCTTCCAACTGTGCCCAATTTCTGCCCAAAATGGGCGGATTTTATGGATATCCACATCAATCCACTGCAGAAAAAATGACCTCAGCCTGGAGCTGTGAAGGAGAGGAGATCAGCCAAAAAATGCTTCCCTCGCACTTGGAAAATCCGCCGTGCCATGCTACCAACGAACGGCAAACCTGAAGGGCTCCTCCCGCCGTTCACGGCATGCCGCGAGGTCGGGGCTCACGTCGCATAGATCTGGACGCCCCCCAAGTACACGAAAGGCCAAATCCGCTCCCAGCTTTCTTGGAGACCTGTCAACCAAACCGCTCAGGTCCGGCGCGACCCCCCTTTCGACTCAGCTTGCTTCGCTTCAACCCTGGAGAGCTGGTCTTTAGACGGTGTCAATGGGAGAACGCAAACCCACAACAACCTTGGAGGAAGCAATCATGTTCAGAACATGTCTGGGACATGGAAAAAGCCTGTGAGGTACAGTCTGAGAGTGTGGATCCTTGAAAGAACCCTCCCGCAGCATTCTTCAGACAATGTTCGACGTGAGCCCGGTCGTAGAGATCATCAACACAAGCAAAAAATACTGCTAGGACCCAGGAGTGGGGCTTGTCAGGCTTGTCATCAAAATGCAGGGAAGCATCCCAAAGGCCAAAGACCCAAAAAAAGGGGAAATAGGGTTAGAGCCGGATTCGGAAACTAATCGGTCGGATTCTGAAACTAGGGTTCTGAAACTGGGGTTCTGAAACTAGGGTTCTGAAACTTGGATTCTGAAACTGGTGTTCTGAAACTGCGGTTCTGAAACTAGGGTTCTGAAACTGAGGTTCTGAAACTAGGATTCTGAAGCTGGGATTCTGAAACTGGTATTCTGAAACTGGAAAGTCAGATTCTGCAACTGGTATTCTGAAACTGGAAAGTCAGATTCTGCAACTGGTATTCTGAAAACTGGAAAGTCAGATTCTGCAACTTGCCTTCTGAAGCTTGCAACTGGTGATCTCCACATCATGCGATAGCGTGTGTGCCTGTGACATCACCTTCGAAGCACATCCAAACCAACGTCATTAGCCCCCCACCCAACCCCCCCCACC